AACTCGCTGGACTGGGACGATCGCGGAAAATGATGAGAGAAGAACCACCTGGGTGTCTCTTTTGGAGGCTAGCCTGTTGGGGCTTGGTTTAACCGGAAACCAAACAGGAAAACCACAATCTTGAGGGTCACCACTTTCAACCTACTTTCCGCCAGGGTTCCAACTATTGGTCTCCCCCGGGACTTAAACCCAGTGCTTGAATTTCTCAAAGGAAGAATCCCTGAGCTCCAGCCTGCCTTGGTGACAAAAAACAAACTGCAACCCTACTTTTTGGGCACCAAACAGGCCCCCTAATTTAGAACCCCCCCCCCAAAAAAAAAAGGACGTCTATGGTAGTCGAACGCCGTAGAAACGACAGGCATTCTCTCCGAAGGGTTGATTGCCACCTCCAACTCTTTGAGTATCAACCACGATTTTCAGCTAGGTCCTCCAGTGGAGAGGTTAGAATAACAGTACCAACTTTTTTCTGTAGTCTAAATTAGTAGGGGAACCCTCCCCCAAAAAAGGGGTGAGAAAGGGCACTACTGGGGGACCTAGTCAGTCCACCTGGGGGTTTTACCACAACGGATGCAGCTCCCCCCACCACCCACCACCCACCACCCACCACCCACCACCCACCACCCACCACCCACCACCGCGCATCTGGTCGAGCGGCGTCGCTTGGGCTGAGCGGCAGCCATGGTCCGAGGTCCTTGGGTACCTGCCGAACGGCGGCTCCGTTGCGGAAGGCAGAAAGGAACTCTGGTCATACCAATATCTGGGCAGCCACAAAAAAGCGGTACACGGAAAAGCTTCATATGCCCGGAATCTGCTTCACATACAAATATATATATATATATATATGTATATATACATATATATATATATCTATATATATATATATATGTGTGTATATATATATATATATATATATATTTGTAGTCTGCCCTAAAATAGAGAATAGTTTTGGGGGAGACCCCAAAGTTTCGGGCATGTCCGTTGCTTCCAGACTTTTCGCCACTATCGTAGGCAACCAGGGCTTGTTCACCTTGCTTTTTGGGAAACTGGAAGGAAGCCAGCTTCTTCTCTTCATTTCTTTCGGGGGTCTTTCTTTGACACATACCCCATATGAGCCATGCCCCTTTCACAGTGGGCAACCAGGGTTCTCCTGGTTAGATGCTATAGACTATAAAGGTACTTTCTTACTTCCGAGGGGATTCCCTCAGCCACAGAAAGTGGCGACCTACTAACCTCATACACAACCATGAACACCCAACCTGCGCTACCCGGTTACCCTCACATGAGAAACCCGTTCAGTTGTTCTAGAGCTCTCTCTCTTTTTCCGAGTGCTAAAAGGTCGTCCCACGGGATTGACGGACACCATTTGCATGATTTATGTCCGCTGGCCATTTTGGAGGCTGCGACATACAAAAACAGAGCACCAAAAACGGCAGGCGGTGTCCTGGCGCTTTTCCTGCGCCAGAAAAGGATGCCCTCCCTGGTGCCATGGAAGCTAAGAAGTTGTCCCACCTCACTATTGCAACTGTTGCCTCCTAGCAATCCAACAACTGTGGCCCAACTACCTGGAATCCTCGCCCAACAATGGGCTGCTCTTCCCGCCAAAAGGCGGATGTCTCTGCCAAAGGTCGATCACCTTCTTGATGGAAAAGCCGCTTCTGTCCTTTTGGGGCGGTCACCAAAGGCCAGCCAGGGCGTCGCCCATCTGGGTGTGGCTCAAAATTAAACGATCGGAGGGGCAAACCGCAGGTTTTGGTACCCATGTTTCCACTTACCAAATGTACCCATTTTGGGCACCGGTTTTTTGAGCCACAGCCATCTTTCGGGGCCTTTTCCCCCCGCTTCGTCCCCGCTTCGCCTCCTCCTCGGCACCTGGCAGATCAAAGGAGCCGAAGCGCGCGATGGCGCCAACAAAAGCGCCAGCGAAAACGACGGGTCTATGTCAGGCGCAGCCACAAACCCCAACCCCTTGGAACCCCCCAAAGAAACCCCTCACACCCCACCTCCCCCCAATAAAAAGAGGCAATACCCCCAAACAGAAAACACCGAACCCCAAAGAAGCCTCAAAGGGCACCAGGAATTCCTCGACAAATCGCCCTCAGGTCTCAAAAAGAGACCGAGCCAGACTGACATGATGCAAGGGTGGCTTCGAAATGCTTGGCCTGCAAAACACATAACAAAGAGTTCAGGACCAATTTGGAAGCTTGGTTTTAGCCTGGAGAACAAGGGAGCCCTGGCTTAGTTGGGCTGCAGCCAACAGTGCACGTAGTTAGGGAAACGTGCAGCTGACCATGGACACGACTTGTGGTTGGGTTGCTTGCTCTGTCTACGCCACCAATCATACTATCGATGGACAAACTCCTGCGCCAGGGATGGATGAAACCGTATGGGTACTCGCATAAACCACCTACCAACTGGTGCAGGATTTTGTTCACCTACAGTATCTGCTTCATTTCCCCTTAGGAATTCTCTTGTAATTCTCTGCCTCTCACGGAAAAACAAAACACGCAAAACCCTGCGCCTACGGTTGCTGCTTTCCTTCTGTTGAAACATATGCACTGAATGCACTGACCTGTGGTCTGTGTGTGTGTCTTTGCGTGTGTGTCTTTGTGCCTTTGTGCCGTTGTGCCTTGGTGTGTTTGTGTGTTTGTCTTTTTGTATTTGTGGTTGTGTGTTTGTCATAGATCATCATACTGCAACACAAGACAGAAAACACGATGAGGTGAACACGAAAGATCAATACCTGGTAGGTTCCAATGCAGATGTTGGTAGCCTTTAGGATGGTGAGAGGGAAAGGAAACAACCTCCAACTTCGAGGGTCCTCTTTGACACAGTCCCTTGAGGTTCCGCACCCATCCAGGCTCCGGTCTTGAACCCCTAAAAACACGTCATGTTGCTCCCGCGCGATGGTTGGAAGCTGCCCAAATCGTAACATGTTCTCGCAACATGTTGTTGCCCGGCGTCGCCAGTTTCAATTGAAGCCTTTAGGGCAAAGCCAACAGCAATGGCAAGTCGCTTGCCTTGAAACCATTTCGCCCAAGATCCCACTTGGGCGTGGCTCAAAATGAAAGAGTCAGGGTTATGCAGGCTTTAGTCTTTGGTTCGATTTATCCAGGTGCCATTTTGGTACATGTTTTTGACCCCTGAATTAGGCATGTTTTGTTTCTTAACACCCTAGGCTTTTAATGTTTGGTTCTTCCCACCAGCTGGCAACCGGAAGCATTGGGCTCACCCAGTGGGGCAAGTGACTGGAGATCCGAGCGAAAGTCTAGCGGGAGGGTTCTGGATTTCTGGATGCGCAGTACCAATATCAACTGCCCATATACCCCAATGTGACCTCCGCCATGTTTTTCTGAACCAAAAGGACCCGTGGCCGCGCACCCCAAAGTGGATTTCGTTTCTTTCCTCTTGGCTTCCCTTTTGGAAAACCACACGAACAGGTACCAACTCCAGCAAAAAAAACCGAACCCCCGAATTCTGAAAAGCAATTGGAAGATGCGCTCGACACAACCCTCAGCTCCGGCCTTGGCCCATGCCTTCCAATGAGGGGAGCCAGCCCTGCGGCTGCACCAATGTGGTGGTCTGGGCACTCGGCACCTTGCGCGAGCGAAACCAAGAGGATCTCGCGTGTTCCACGCTTAATTTTGTCCCCTACTAGGTCCTCCTCCAGTAAAGAGGTTAGAAGAAGGGCACCGGGCAAGCTGGGGGGCCTAGCCTATTTTTAACCACCTCACCGATCAGAAGCTTGACTGACGTTTGGCTCCCACCAAAACCAGCCAAAGACGCACTTGCCCAAAGCGAATCGACCTTTTAACGTTTCAGTTCTCCTTCTTGGTCCATCTGAAATCTTTGGTGGCCCGAAAGGTTGACCTTGCACCTGAGGCAACTGAGAACGGGCATCCCCAAATGCCTTTACCGCCAGGTTCCTTTCACCGAGAAAGGCCCGAGAGCCCTTGAATCCCCAAGCGAGTTTCCTTGGGCGGTGCTTTTTTACCGAGGAGATACGTCGGGAACCCCCGAACACATGTGGACGTCCTTTTGGTGTCCCTTTAGAACCAAACAGAAAAGGATCTGGCAGCACTAACCATTCCAGGTAGTCAGCTTCAAAGCTTGAATGACTCTGGGCTCGAAGAAAAGCTTCTTCCGTCTCAAAACAAGTCATACTAACAATTCACCGGCCAAAACGATGCCGCAAACCACGAGGTAAGTTTGGCATACCTCCTAGCGAGAAACAAGAGATGCAGAAAAAAACAGCTTTTCGATCGATCGACCAAAAGAGAATCCGATTTTGCAGTGAATTGGGCAACCGCCACGGATACACCCGAACCGAGGTACATGACATAGCTAGATGTGAGTTGGTAGTTGGCTTCCTTCCTTTTCAAAGTGGGCCAAGGGTTTCGAGGGCCAATGAGTCGACAAACCAAACGGGCACAGAGGATTGCTTTGCCCCACCTAATGGGAGCCCCTGGATTACAGTGTGTTCCCTTCCACCACCCCAACAATACGAAACGCGGTTTGTTTGTCCGGGGTTCCCTCTACTCATTTAGTAAATAGGGGGATTTATCTCTCGTTGGTCGGCAGAAGATAAGTTCCTTTTCTTCGTTGGTCCTCGATTCTAGCCTTGCGGCTTGGACAAGAAGGACGGATCCAGGAAAGAACCGGCAACACGCGGTTGCGACTTCTGTCAAGAACCTTCGTTTCCCTTGGAATTTTCAGTGTCCTACAATTCTGGCTGGATTTCGACCTGCAAAAAGTGTTGGTCTGGGTGCTTCAAGCAGAAATGAAGGAAAACAAAAAAGGCAAAGGTTATATAGGTAAGCTGTCTGGCAATCGTGCGTGGGAATCTAGAAACAGTCATTGGATCGGTGGAACTGAGGGGTTAGCCCCCCACCCAGTCCTCTTGAGTTGCTAAATGGGAAGAGACTCCCGAGACCACAATAGGTCCCTTTTTTGTTGGACGGGGAACGCCCTCAAAATAGGTTGGCGGACAGAAAAAACCCATGTCAATGCCCATGTGAATGCCCATTGCCCTAGCCCGGCGATGAGTGGGCATCTCACAATTGAAGGGAACCCCGCAAACCCCGCAGATCCCTGCCTTTTCCCTTTGGTTCTCGGAATCCCAAGCCCCACCCAAACCACCACGCCCACACCACCGCGCCCAAACCACCGCGCCCGAACCCACACGACGGCCGCCCCAGCAGCGAACCTCGCCCCCTAGGGCCCACCCCGCCTCCACGTCGGGGGACCACACGGAGATGAAGAAAGATCGGCCCTCCTTGAAGGCGGCGCCGGCGCCTAAGGCCGCGCCCAGGGCGAGAGCTGAGGCGGAGGGGATTTTCCAGGGCTGCCTGAGTGGGAAGAGGGGAAAAATCCAGTGGGTCTTTTCCGTTGGTGTGTTTTTAGGTTGGACGTCTAGGGAAGATTAGGCAACCGGATTCCTTTTGGAGTGATGTTTGTTGGTTGGACATCTCGACAACCCTGGGGAATGTTTCGCGAGGGGCCGTGCTGGGGTGTTCAAAATGGCCAAGTTTCCATAAATCCCTAGTGGCAATCCACTACAAAGGGGGCCCCTTGTGGCGACCCAGGGGAAGGATCTTGCGGATTGCCGTTGAAGAGTCCAGTTTTTGCAATCATTCAACTGGGGTCATAGGGGACCAAACCCATGTTCATAGATAGACGCGTCAGCTTGCAAAGCCTGTGGTTCAAGGTTTCTTCCGCCCCGCACATGCACAGGTCAGCTTTTTCCGCTGGTTCATTAAAAAAACAAAAAACAGCGAGAGGTCTTTTTTGCTGCATTCATTCTTAAGAAACCAGAAAAAACCAAAGAGCAAACACCGGCGCCACCCAACAACTGGGGACATGTTCGTTTGCATTCTGGGCGACCCTCGGCGTGGGCTCTCCACTCCCACGACCCGTCTGGCCAACCCAATCCAAACCGCCCAGTCATCGCTAGGAGAATTGACGGGGAATTCGGAAACCGTCCGAGACAACGGGGTGAGGCACCCAAGATGCCTCAAGTTTCGCCGCAGCTTTGCCTCCGGCTCGGTGAGTTGGTGAACGAATCTGTGCAGAAATTGCGAGGCCGAACTTACCACATCATTCCAACTGTTGGGAAGGATCTAGCCCAACAGGTGGAGGTTCAACAACAAAGGAGGGGGCCGAAAAGAAGAAAAAAAAGGTGAATCCCAGTTGCCCGGCCCCGGCGTTTGGGGGGGGTCAGTTCGAACAAAGTGATCTACAGATGGAATCCACTGAGCTGTTTTTTCAACTTTCCATTGGTCTTCATATGGCCAAGACTACTTGTTTCAACCCGAGAGGACATGGGTGGAACAAGTTGGTACCAACTTCTTTCTGTATCCTATTTTAGTCGGGCCCCCCCCCCGGACCCTCCCAACCAAAAGAGTTGGTGAGAGGTCGGGCACCAGGCTGGGGGACCTTGGAGAGCTACACATCATACATCCTGCCCCACGTCATTCCCATCGCCTGGACTGCGGAGCGCCCGCAGGGTGAGCTGTACCTCAGGCAAGGCTTGGGAGCTCGGTGGCGTTGGGTGACAGTCCCCGCAGAAAAAAATGCCAAAAACTGTCCAGTAGTGATAGGTTCCCTTTAACACCAGGGGGAACCGGCAATTGAAGCCATTGAGTGGCTTGGCTAAGACCTGTTGCAACTGTCCAGTGGTGATTCTGTGGATGGACGAAATCCATTTCGCACCACGAAATGAAACCATGGTTGAAGCCATTGTTTGTTGGTATTTACAGGCGGCTCAGTATTGGCTTCTTGGGTGGTGCAGGATTTTGTCCATCCACAGCAGGTTCCCTTGAAAACCAGGGATAAACGCAAATTGAGGCAACTGAGTGGCTAAGACAAGTCTAGACTAATGTTGACCCCCGATATTTCTCAACCCGGGGTGTTCCCCTCAAGTAACGATTCCCGACTGAACCCAAGGACACACCCCTATTGAATTGGGGTTGATCAATATGAGATCAACATTATTTGGGCCCGACTTTGCGTCAACTTTAGAGCTCGTTCCCCCATGTGATGTCCGACTACCGTCACGCGCGAGATGTACGGTGACCCATGCCCTTTAATGAGCAACCCGTGCTCCCAGGAAACTTCAGATGTGAAACCAAACGGTATGCCAGCAGAAACCTGACGGTTGTCACACAAAAAGCTGAAACACACGCATACAACAAGCCAAACCTATCTGAGGCCAAACCTCGAAATGGGAAGTTTCAAGTTGAACGAAAAACCGCTCCCAGTAATTCTGAAAATCTCTCCAAATGGAAGCACAAAAGGGACCTCTACTCATGATGTCAAGATCCGCCCAAAGGAGGTGTCTGTCTTGAACCGGGTTTTCCGACATATTGATACCCAAAACACATCACGGGCCTTCGGAGTGGGGCGGGCCAACCTCAGCGTGTTTTTTGTCTTCGCGCGGCCCGCCTCCGCCTTGTTCCAGAAGGCGAACACCGTGGGAGCGCCCTTTGGAGCGCTGAAGTGGTCCTGGCGGAAGAAAAATTCGATGGCAGGTTTCCCCCAGCCTGGGACATTGGGTGGTAGCCCCGCTGGGGATTTTTGGTCGGAGTTTGGGCGAACTAAGAGATTTGGGTCGGTCCTTCTGGGTTGTTTGGTGGGAAGTAGCCCCTCTTTGAAAGTTGCTGTTGTGTGGTCAAAGCTCCCTATCAGTCATGTCATGGTTCCCTTATTGACCCTTATTGTGGCCTACGCGGTGAATGCATGACCAGCACCTCAAGCAAAGGGGTGTCTTTATTGGATGTCTCAAGGGGACCCTCCAGGTGAGAGGTGTCCTTCTAGTGCTCCCTTAGAATCAGCCAAAAACGGTGCGGTCAAAACAGAACAACCACCGGTCTGAGTGAATGGTCATTGCGTGCGCTTGAAACTCGCGTTTGGGCAGACCCATCTTGCATGCTCAAGGAAAAGAGCACCGGAGGCTTAGCCGGCTACGAGCCCAACCCTCTAGCGCGCACCATGGACATCATGCCCCCAAAGTTAAGGGGATGCCGGCGGGCTGGGGAGTCGGGTCGATACGGAGACGGGACATGGACAAATACAAAGGGATTCTTTTGCTTTTTTCGCCTGGGATGTTCGAATGGAGAGAACATCCTGTGTATGTAAGCTAACCAAACGGCACCACACAAGCAAGCGATAACTCTTTTATCCAAGCAATGTGTTGGTGCCAGGGACTCATCTTCCCCTGTCAGATGTCTACGGCTGGGTGGGCCCCATGGGCCACCCACCACAAACTCTCAAAAACTGAAGAACGGGTGTGCAGACTGATAGCGCCCGCCCCTGGGCCGGGGCCAGGGGCACCCAGGCCACAGGGGGGTCTGCCACCAGGGGAAGTGAGTCACCCACCGGCTCCGGTCACGGGAGCATGGGTGGGCCCACGCTAAGATCAAATGCATCTCCATTCAGGAGACGCGGGAGAAAAATGAACTCCTCGCAGAGTTCCTGTTTAGGGACTCTGTGCAAAGGGTCGAACCCAGAGAAATCTGGGTGCGTCAGCTCATCGGCCCACTGGTTGAATTCCCGGGGCACGTGGTTGGCCGCCAGCGAGCAGCCATGGGTGTGGAGCAGGAAGACCAGCTCCATCAGGATAGCCGCGGTGTAGGGCTTCTTGGATCCAAGGTTGAGCATCGCCATGATTGTCACTGCCCACCGGGAGTCGGACCCGGGAGGACAGAGGGCCTTGGTGCGTGAGGATCATGTTACAGAGGAAGAGCGTGCCCAGCATTTCCAGAGCGGGGTGCCCAAGGCCAGGAGTGTTGCCAACAGCGCCACCGCCAAGTTTACTGCCCCCTCGCTGCGAAGCAGCCACAGGAAGTCATCCACAAAGACGAAGTTCCAGTCCACTTGAGGGAAAAGTGCGTAGAGGACCCTGAGTAGAAGGGCTGCCAGGCGTCCCCAGTAGGATTGGGCACTGGCCATGCCGTATGTGCCTACCTTGTTCACCCACCATTCTTCCCCCAGTGAGGCCACCTGGAACCGCCAGTCCTTCCTGAGGACCTTCACTCTCCGGTGGGCCTTGGTGACGTCCGCCTTGAGCAGCACCCACTTGGTGCCCGGCTCCGGCCATTGCCAGCCCTCGGGTGGAGGTTAGCGACCTCCTTCTCGGGGCCGGGGGCACCCTGAGAGGGAGGTCCCTCCTCAGCTGCCGCATGTAGCCAATGAAGAGCTTGTACCCCATCCAGCACCGTCGGAGCCGTCGTCCTTTCCACCGTCTGGTTCCTGATGGTGTCATTGGCCCCGCCCACCGAGCCATCGTAGATGGTGCGGATCTTGTCCCCTTCGTCGATGCCCGCTAGGGGGCCTGGGCAAAGATCCTCCATATTGCAGCCACAGCGCGCTGCTGCCTCTACCTTGGTGAGAGGGCCATCTACCATGCCCATGGGGACCTCCTCCAGGAATGTGCTACGGATGAGCTCACTGAAGTGATCCGCTGAGGGGTAGTTACCCCGACCCGTGGGATGAGGGAGTTCCTGGAACCCGGCTCCTCCCCTTATGCCCGGCGAGGCTAGGGGTGGGTCCGTGACCCCCAGTGGGACCCCTTGTTCCAGATCCCGAGGAAACTGGTGGTCGGGGTCCTGAATGTTCAGCGCCAGGCTGTGCAAGGAAGAAGGGCTGGCCTTCCGCTGGTCGGCCTGCCCCTGGCGCCAGGATCTCCCTGATATCTTCCAGCAGAAGGGGTGTGACCCGTCCCCCAACGAGAGCGACTCCTGGAGTTTCCCCCCATGGCGACGTGAGGACACAGATCTTGGCCCCCATCGCTGCTGCTTTGGACAGTGGCCGAGTCCACGGGGCCAGCCGTCCAAGTGAGGGCTTCCCACCCCCGTCCTTGAGGGGGCGCTGTTTGAAGGCCATCTGGAGGTACATAACCTTGTCGGAGAGATTTGGGTCGTGCGTGATCGGCAGGGTGGTGGGCCGATCCGAGATCTCCATGCAATGGCGTGCCTATGGCTGAAGGGGAAGAGTTTCACCCCGTGGTTCGACCTCCCTGCCCGCCGGCTGTGTTGGTGTCCGGACCTCAGGATTGTCTGAGGCCGAGACCGGACGTGAGCCCAAGGTTAGTCCCGCCAACGCTTGGCCGGCCTTCAGCCTCAGGGACTGGCGCTTGTTGTCCCCCGGCGTGCGGGGAGATGGTTCCCTCTGCCGCCTCGGGGGGGGTCGTTGGGTTCACTTGGGGCACCGTGCCCCTCGGCCTCAGCGCCTCCAGGACGGGTCCCGCTCTGCAGAGGATGGCCGCTGCGAGACCCTGCATCATCTGCTCTGGGTACCGGCTGAGGTCACTGGAGTTGAGCTTTTCCCCCCTGGGGTGAGCTCCGTGGTTGCATCGCAGATCATGCCAATGGTGAAGGGGAAGGTCCGTTGACAATGTCGTGGACTTCACTACCACCTGGCCCAGGCGGCACTCGTCAAACTTGATGAGGGAGTGGTGGAGTGCGTTCGCCCATTGAATGTAGGCCGTGTGACCCAGATCGATGAGCACCTCGCTGCGCTCGGGCTGCATTGGGCCCATCGGTGCTCCAGGAAGGAGGAGCCCACCTGCGGGACCGTTCGTTGACCTAGTCCTTGGTAGGCCAGAGAGGTCAGGTACATCTGTCGGAGCATGAGCACGCTGTCGTTGTCCGTGTCCTCCCTTACCCGGGGCTCCAGGTCCTCCAAGCCCCACAGGGTCTGCTCCGCCCTGCCCCTCACCGGCGGCGGGCCTCCCGGTTTGGGGAACCATCTGAGAATGCTCCACGTTCTGCAGTTGGGGCCGCCCCCCACAAAGGCGACCTTGCCCGCCATGGCCATGGAGCACATTGTAGAGTATGGCTCGTCTCCCAGCATGTCCTGTCCAAGATCGCCACCCTTTCCCTAATGCACTGCCCAAATGTACTCCGAGAAGGCCGGGTTGTAGGCATGGAGGTAGGCATCCAGGGCCCCCGCGGCGTCCTTCCCAGCATACAGCAGGATGAGGGTCGGCTTCGACGACTCCGGCACGGGTCGTGGCGTCCACCTTAGTCTGGACCTCAGTCTTTCCGGGGTGTCTTGCATTTAGGGGAAGGTGGGGCTTGTCTTTTCTGGGGTTTCCGTGTGTCCTTTGCCCGACCCACTGGTCGTCCGGCCCTGGGCTTGCTGCTTGCCCTGACGGTTCTGCCCGCCCTTGGAACGCCCCTTGCCGGGCGGATCCTCACCTCTGGGTCTCTCTGGGGGTTCTTCCCACTGCCCCGGTGGGTGCGGGGGAAAATGCTTCCGCCCTTCTGGAGTGCCCTGGCTGGATCCACTCCCTTTCTTCGGTGGAGGGGCTTCCGGGGCTGGTGGCACCCTGGAGAAGTCCCCTCCCACCTGCGGCCGTCCTGGCCTCCCCAACTCTGTCTGCCTTCCGCTGTGGCTCTGGTGGGATTGGCTCTCCCCCGCTGTGTGCGCTCTCGCACTGGTGGCCTGTGATCCCTCCGGAGACCAGGCAGCCACGGGGCCCATGGCACCCTGAGTGGCCTCCTGTCACTTGGGGAGGTGTGGGCATGCCTGTGGCACATGCTTCGCTGGGGGGGCATCACACACCCACCCATCCTTCCTGACCGGGCAGTTGTGGGATCGGCCGCATGATCCAGGGCATTTGTTGTGAAGGTGATGATCCCTGCAGTACGCCACCCCTTTGGGATTCTTGAAAGCCCAGTGGTCTGGCCATGGGGTCGAGGAGGACTTCCCTTTGCCGCCCTTGCCCTTCGGCTTGGAATGGGTAGGCCCCGAGGACCAAGATCCTTTTCCCCCCTTCTTGGGCTTCTCCCACTGAGTCTGCCACACCTTGGGTGCCTTGCTCTTGCTCTTCCCCTTCGTCGGCGCCCTGTTGAGGTGCTCATAGACCTCCCGTTGCCAGAAGAGGAAGTCGCCCCTGATGTTCTTGAGGGCTTCGGAGAGAGTGGTGCCCTGGTGCACCATTTCGTGAATCTTGCGCCATGCATTGCGCTCTGCAAACAGCAAGGTGGTGTCGCTCGGGGGAGGTTTCCTGCCGGCTATGTCCTCCCCATAGAACCAGGCATACCAGTCATCCAACTCCTCCTTGGTGACCCTCAGGTTGCCAAATTGCGGCAGTGCTGCCGTGCACATCAGGAGCGTCGTCCTGAAGGTTAGGTGCAATCGTTCCAGCTGGCGCCGAGATGTAGGGTGGCTCCTCACCTCTTCTTCATCCTCCCTGTCCCAGCCGTCCACCGTGATCTTCTTGTGGGTGGATGAAGGGCGTTCCCCTTCTTCCGGGAGCGCGCTCACGATGTGTTTTGCCGGGATGTAGCCCAATTCGCCCTTGGCAATCATGCGCCATTGCTTCTTGAGGTAGCCATCACTACCCTGGAATTCCAACCTCGGCTTCGGGGCCCCATGCGTGGCCACGTAAGCATCTTCCAGCTGGCGCCTGTCACACAGGACTTCTAAGGGAGCCTTTGTCGGGCCCGCATGGCCCGCCGGGTGGTCACCCTGGTTGCCCCCCCTGACCAAGTTTGCTG